CTAAGAAGGGCTACCTCAGGCCCTGTGCTCCCGCCACCCCTGCCCTCTGCGTTCTGTTCCTGTCATCCTGCCAGCCTTGTGCTCTACTGGCCCTGCCACCCTGCTGTCCCCAGTTGACACCGCCCACCTCTTCCTGCTGATGAGGCAGGCCCAGGCTGCCCCTAAGTGAGGTGGCAGCTGCTGGCTGTGCCAGGCCTTCTTGCGAGGGTGCTTGTGCTGTTCTCTAAGCAGCATAGGCCAGAGATCTCCAAACTTGGCAGCTTTAAGAGTTGTGGACTTCAACTCCCAGAATTCTCCAGCCAGCATAGCTGGAGAATTCTGGGAGTTGAAGTCCACAAGTCATAAAGTTCTCAAGTTTGGGGACCCCTGGCATAGGCTATTCTCACAATGCTTTGGAAGGCTTTTGGGGCCTTTTGAAACCTACCCACACCATTCTTCAAATCATGTGGGCTGATGTCTCACAAGGACTTGCACTATTTGAAGAACAACATCAGGAAGAAGGTGGGACTTGGCCAGCAGCTGGCATCAGTAATGGGAGGAAGACCGCAAAGATCAGCTGGAGGCAGTAGGGTTGCAGGGTGAGTGAGCCTAAGGTGGCATAGCCAGCAAATGGCAAAAAGGACAGAGATATGGTGTGGGGGAAGATAAGATGGGTGTGGGGAAGAGAAGGCCTTATTTTACCAAGCTTATGGCCTCAGAGGGACCAAACTGGGACTGGCTTGGATGGAGGTGATCCCTGCCTAACAACTGGTGGGGTTCAATTAAATGACAGCAACAGGAAGAGCTGGAACTGCCATTGCTAAACAATGCAGTCACGTGACATCACATTTTATAGCTGCATTGCTTAACGATGGGAAATTCTGCTCCCAATTTCCACTGTAACTTGAGAACTGCCGGTATATACTGTATTATTAGTACATCCTTTTTGTAATACATAGCTTATGCATTTGCTCAATTCCCATGGAAACAAATATACACAAACAGAGGGATGTTCAGAATATTGCTACATTAGTACCCTCCAGATGTGTTGGTCTCCAGTTGTGCTGATAAATAACTCCCCAAATTCCCCTGTTCCTGAGAATTGTAATCCAACACATCTGGAGAGCAGGAAGTTGGAAAAGGTGTTCTATAGAAATTATTAAAAGCACTACAAGAAGTATCCAGAGTTGCATCAAGAAAGAATAGAATTCTACTAAAAAAAAGTGCAGTTTAAAAACTTAATTGTAAGAAACTTGCCTGGATAACTGGGTTTGATTGAAGATCCCACGGAAAGCACTAAAAATCCACAGAACCAGATACAGGCATTACTGAGCTGTATAAGAAGCTATAAACTGATTTATAAAAATTTAAAAAAAAACATGACTAAGTTTCATCCATTTCTTCCTCGTTTCCCTGATGTTCCCTCAAAAAGTAGATTTACCCTGTATTTAAAATGCTAAGTAGGTGTAGATAAATAAGGATGACCCACCTTGGAAGTGTTGAAAGAATTCTGCCGCATTCACTTTAAAATTGATTAATCCTATTAATATATTTTTTAAAAAAACCTCACCAACCTTTGGCCAAGAGTGCTTTGACAGCAGCACGTGTTTCCTTTTGTCATTCAATTTTGCTTTAGTTCATTTGTTAAATTATTAAAATGTATTTCACCTGCTTAGGTAATTAGCATGTTAGGGGCTCAGCGGTGCAGGCAATATGAAGTCATTATTAAGAAAAAATGATATTGTATTCCAGCCACAGCTGCTGGTAGGCCCTTAAGGCAAAGAAGAGGGATCAGAAAAGGTTCTGTAAGGCCTGGTTTGCATCTGTATAAATTCAGAGTCTTTCCTCATTATTATTTTACCACCACCCCTAGTAAACAGCCCACTGGAAGCATCTTTCTTCACTTGAAAAGGTGGATGAAATTCAGACAGGGCAGGATAATTGTTCTGCAAGGAGGAATCTTAAAAGGATGAAGAATAAGTATAGAAGAGGCAGAATATTTAATATTTAACTGCCTCCAGCATTGGTTGCTTTTTCATCCTAGTAAGCAAGTGGAGTAAAACAGCTGCCGGTTTGCGTCCCTAGCACTCAAAGTCAGAAGACTAGCGATGCTTTGGAATATCTCTGCCCTCACCCACCCTTGACTAATTTAGTCTCAGGCCCAGGCACTAGGCAAGGGCCGTGTCTTCTCTGGAACGATATAAAGCTATGGGCCAGCTGGAGAATTGAAAGCTTTAGATTCCTTTTCTACCCTTGCTCTGCAGCACAGAATACAAGAGCTTCCTCATCCTGGTGCTTTTTAAATCTGCTAGGCTATTTTCCCCAAAATTCCTTGTCCCAGACATATCAGCCTAACTCATCGATTCTAATTTATTTTACTAAGGTAAGCCATTTGGGCTCTGCTGTCCAAAATGGATACTACTTTCCTCTTTTGACTTTCTATTCCCTGGGTATAAAACCCTTGCATTAGGCAAAGTTGCTTCAGTGAATAATAATTAAAAAAACTCTAAAAATGGCTGGTCTTGTCCTTTTTTTTCCCAATGGCTTGCTCCATACAAATACTTAGGAAAAATAAAAAATTAAAAACTTTAATGACTCCCAAGTTAGGGCTTGACTCCTAGCAATATGACTATATCCATGTATTGCAATGGTAAATAAATGACCTGCTATTGCTTAACAGTGGGATGTTATCATTTTTTCAATTTTATAATACAGCTGTCAGCACTCTAAGCAAATCCAATCCTGCTGAATTTTTCTCAAGATTAGATAACTACAACTAAGTGCTACTATTGGCCATGAAAGATGGAAGAGCAGTATTATATGTTAGTCTTGGAGTGGTGAGGAAGTCTTTACTATCCTACTACCTACTACCTATCCTACTACCACCACTAAACCCCTTTGAGGATTTATAAATTCTTTCAGTCTCTAGAGAACGTAACTGGAGAAAACATAGTGAAGATACAGGTTAAGAAAGGGTCACGTTTACTTATTCTAATTATCTAGAAGATCTGTTAGCATTATATTATCCTGGTTCTAACATTATTCTGAAACTGTCTCTAGCAGAGACAGAGGCTTTCAGACTTGATCTCTGAACCTCCTCCAGACCTGGTCTTCTAAATGCACTTCCATTTTTATCTGGTTCCCTCTTCCTGGTAGAATCTCACCTGGAAGTGGGGGACTGCCTTCAATCTGCTTTTGTGGTGTAGAGACAATAACTTGGTCCTCAACACCAATAAGACCAAGGAGATTATAGTGGACTATAGAAGGAACAGATCAGACATTCAGCCCTTGCTTATCAATGGAGACCAAGTGGAGCAAGTGGCCAGTTTTAAGTTTCTGGGTGTTACCATAAAAGAGGACCTGACCTGGGTGCTCACATTGCAACACTGGTCAAAAGGGCCCAGCAGAGATTATACTACCTGAGACTTCTCAGAAAACAACAACTGAATGAAAAACTGCTAGGGACCTTCTACTGCACCATACAGAGCATTTTAACTTATTGCATCTATGTATGGTTTGCCAATTGCACAGGGTCAGATAGGACAGCACTCCAGAGGATTAATGTCATTGCCCAGAAGATCATTGGTTGTCCTCTCCCCTCTATGGAAGAGCTTTATAGCTCCCGCTGCCTTAAGAAAGTTCAAAACATTCTCAAAGATCCATCTCATCCTGGGAACCCTTTTTTTGAACTATTACCATCTGGCAGACGGTACATGATAATAAAAACAAGGACAAATAGGCTGAAAAACAGCTTCTATCCCAGGGCAGTAACTCTATTGAATTCTACTGTATAGTGCAACATTAATGCAATATCAGGGGTTTTCAATTCAATTGTATAGAATGTGAATGATGTGTTTGTGTTTTATTTTTATAGTTATAAGATGGCATTTAATTTCGTTGTACAAGATGCAAAGACAATAAACTAAACTAAATTACCTTTGATGATAAGGTGGTCTAAGGGTTAAGGCATCCCCCTAGAAAGCAGGTGACCATGAATCGAAGTCCCACTTTAGCTATGAAAACTAGCTGAGATGGAAGATCTAGATCAGGGCTGTCAAACTCCTGGCCTGCGGGCCAGATGCAGCCAAAGGCTGGCCACGGCCACACCTGGTTTAGCAAAGGCAAAAAGAGTTCCAATGATGCTGCAGTGAGTTTGACACCCCTGATCTAAGATTAAAGAAAGGGTGGCTTAAAGACAGGAAGCAGATCAGAAAGGACTTCAGGTTCTTTGCTGGCTGAGTTTTGAACCCCAACCGAAGAACTGTCACATTGTTTAACGCATCTTGCATTTGAGCCCACTGAGCCAATTCCAGGGGCATTACTCATAAGCCAAAATTTCAGGTCAGTTCTAACCTTTCCCCCCCCTAACTGCAGCTGGTGTAAAGTCTGAAGGGATGGCTTTGAAGGACAGGGCAAAAAGCCTGAAATCAAGACAATGGCCAAATCAACAATGCTTGAGTCCAGGCCAAGAAATTAATTTGAGAAAAGGTTTCAGACAAGTAAATGCCTCCCTAATTCACATGAAAGGAGGGTGGGGGTTAAACAGATTCAGACTTGCAAGGTTCTGTCATTAGAGCCATTACAATAAAAATCCTATATGACACTGGGGTTTTTTTTTGGTCGGGGAGTTGAAGTCCACAAGTCTTAAAGTGGCCCAAGTTGGAGACCCATGCCTTATAGGACTAACCTTGGAGATGGCTAAAATATTTCTAACATTTTGCTGATGATGACCAAACTAAAGAGACTTGGTTTGATCTTTAGCAGCATTTCATCATTCCTTCTTTGAATGGATCATTGAAAAAAATGGGCTAAATCCAGGCATGAAGAAATCATTTAATGAGGAACAGAGGTGACACTATTTTGAATATTTCAAACTTCATGAATGGTGCTCAAATGTTTACAATTCAAAATGTTATTTTAACTTTATTAAACATATTTTGAGAACAAATGATATAAAAAGACTATTAGTACATTACATTATATTGTAAGTTATTGTTATTAACAGCTTATTAATACTTGGTGGTAGAATTACAACTAAGAATAAACCACACAACTAATCAATTGAGGGTAAAGAAGAGCTACTTTATTACCACTTTTTATTTCAGGACAATTCGCCTCTTTGTTTCCTATCAGCTTGCCTGGCAGTTTTAAACCAAATCCTTGTAATACCTTTCTTACCTCCAGTTCCTGGCACTGAGGAGAAAAACTAATGGCACATTTACACAAGAAAACCATTGAAAAGTAACCAGGGGCCAAAATAGGAGAGTTTTCAGAATTGTTCAGTTCTCACCTGAAAGATGCTCATGAGCTCTGATACCATTAACCATGTGATACTCTTAGATCAGGGGTGTCAAATTTGCACTGTCACGATGGCATGATGCATCCAGCCCATGGCCCATGAGTGTGACAGCCCCATCTTAGATTCTTTGTCTAATGTAAATGGCTAGATGGAGCACCCACTTAACAAAAGGTCTTGAATCCTGATCCTTTTGCATTTCTTGAGCTGTATATCTTTTCATTTCAATGGCTGTGAAATCCCAGCTTCAATTTTTGGCATCTCTTGGTAGGCTTGGGAAAGATTCCTGCCTGAAAACTTGGGGCGATGATTCCAGTCAACCACTGGATGTAACTGACTATGATTCCCAGAATTTGCAATCAGCTGCAACACAGCACAATATACCTATACAGTGGATTTTTCATGTTTCCCTGTGTCACAGAGGAAGAGGTTTTGGGTCCAAATTTGTCCAGGAAAATCAGGCTAATTGATGTCCACATCTGAATTTAATGAAAAGATTAATGGGCATTTCATGCACAGAAATGTGACAAAAGTTACTTCCTGGTTCTTCCCTACCTGCTCTTGAATTCTATTATCATCTGAACAACCAACATTGTTGAAATCAAAACCAGCATTTTTAACTGATTAAAAAGCATGTGAGTTTGTACGTACAGAGACCCTGTTTTCACCATTTTATTTTATGCTGATGAAGATTAAAATGGAAGATTCTGATAAACTTGTTGTGGCTGATTTAGTGCATACTTTTTTGGGGGGGGGGGGAGTTTGGGATGAAAAGATTGTCAGCACTTTGTAGGTAAATAAAAGGGGAAATGCAGAACTAGAAAATCAGACTTGGAACAGCCAGCAATGAGCTGGAAGGGTGAGAATAGTATTGCAGAGCCAAAGCAAACTTGAAGAAAGCTCTCCTGATATCAATCTAATGGTTTTCTTGAGTGACTGCCATTCATTTCAGTTGTGCAGAAAAAGTTTGGGTTAGTTAGCCCATTATGCAAAGTATTTA